CTGCTCTTCCCAGCTTGCTAAAGGTTTCTAAATTCGCCATTTCAGAAAAATCGTATTTTAAAAACTAATGTGGCAAAATTTACTGAAATATTTGGATATTAAGACACTCTTGCATTTCTCTGCATGATCATGACATATTCTAGTTAACTAATATTTTCTTTAGAAGTTTTACTTGCCTGTTTATACGCGAAAGCACTCATGATTTTGCTCACTTGCATTGTTTTAACATTACAGTATCCCATAAATACGTTGGTTAATTTTCGGTCCCTTTTCATTTTCTTAAAAAAGAAAAAAGTTTATGAGACAAATGAAGTATTCATGGAAAGTTTGGTTGAATTGACATGTAAAGCCATGTAGACCTAGATTTTTGAAGAAAGGGAGATTTTGACTAAAATTAAAATTTTTATAATATTTAGTAGTGATTTATCTTTTGTCAACTTTGGCATTTTGTGTGTTCCTAGGAATAGATGCATTTCACATGGGCTTTCAAATTTTGTAAGATAGTTGTTCTAATACTTTATTAAAACCTTTTTTGTGTCTTATTTACCCCTTCTGTTCTGCGTTGTGTTTTTTTATCTTTCCTCTTTTTTTTTGTGATCAAGCCTTCCAATTTCTTTCTTACTAAAATTTTCAAAAAATGGTTCTGTTTTTGTTCATTTTTCTATTTTTATTGTCAGTTATAAATATTTTTCCTTTATCTCTCTCTCTGTCTTTTTTTTTTTTTTTGAGACGGAGTCTTGCTCTGTTGCCCAGGCAAGTGTGCAGTGGTGCGATCTTGGCTCGCGACAACCTCCACATCCCAGGTTCAAGCGATTCTTCTGGGCCAGCCTCCTGAGTAGCTGGAATTACAAACACCCACCACCACAACTGGCTAATTTTTGTATTTTCCCTAGAGATAGGGTTTCACCATGTTGGCCAGGCTGGTCTCAAACTACTGACCTCCGCCAGCCTTGGTGTCCCAAAGTGCTGGGATTACAGGCATGAGCCACAGTGCCTGGCCCCTTATCTTTATTATTTCTTTTATTTGTTTCTTTAGGCATTGCTATTTATAATCTCTTTCATCAAACATTTAGTTTGTTTATATTTAATTATCCTTATTTCCTGATATATGGATTTAAACTATAAATTCCCTAAGTACTACTTCGGTTCTGTCCCACATATTTTGATATGCACTGCTTCTATTGTCACTATGTTGTAAAATATTTCTTTACTACTCCAATCAGTTCTTTTGAACTCAAGGATTAATAGTATATAATTAATTTCTAAATATATAAGAAATTAGAATTATCTTTCTGTATTAATTTAAAAGTTTATTGCACTGTAGACAGTGAACAAATGCATCACATTTACCTTTGAGATTTGCTGTTGCTGCCTTCATGACTAGATATATGATCTATTTTTTGTTAATGTTCTGTAATGCTCAAAATCAATATGTATTCTTTGTGTGTGTAGAGTTACATATGTAATCTATTAACTCAAGCATATTGTTATTTTCTGATCTTTGATTTTTTGCATATAGTTTTGTCTAGTTGCTTTTATTGTTTCTGTGTGGAGTATGTTCAAGTATCAAAGTACAGTAGTTTATTTTGTAGTTCTTTTAGTTGCTTGATATAACGCTATACAGTTACCTTTTTTTTTTCTTTTATTTTTATTTATTTATTTATTTATTTTTGAGACAGAGTCTCTCTTTTGCCAAGCTGGAGTGCAGTGCAGCAATCTTGGCTCACTGCAATCTCCGCCTCCCAGGTTCAAGCAATTCTCCTGCCTCAGCTTCCCGAGTAGCTGGGACTACAGGTGCGTGCCACTATACCCAGTTAATTTTTGTATTTTTAGTATAGACGGGGTTTCACTGTGTTGACCAGGATGGTCTCCATCTCCTGACCTCATGATCCACCTGCCTCGGCCTCCCAAAGTGCTGGAATTACAGCCCTGAGTCACCACGCCCGGCCTACCATTAACTATATATATGTTATAATGTTTGTAATGCTATGTATTATTTTTGTTGTTCTTTTTTTCAGATATAGCATCATTATCCTTTTCTTATATTGTTTTGCTCTAACTTTTGTTTTATCAGATATATTTTTTGTTTGTTATTTGTCCAGTACATTTTTTCCATCTTTATTATATTTCAACTTTTTGGTTAAGTATGGGTATGGATTTAGAGTGTTTAAAAACTTTATTGAGGCTTTTTATATTGCTGAAACCTTTTAAACGAGCTCATATCTCTTATAAAGGTTATATAAACATTATTCTGATAAAAAATACATCCACTCAGCTCAGATATAAGTAAAAATAGTCCATTTAGAAATGAAAAGACCGTAATATTGCAGAGCTAGGTGATTGTCTAGGTTTGTAGTTTTATACAGTAAATTATTTAAAGAATGTATCAAATTTCACTTGATTTCACAATGTGGAGGCTGAACTTGAATCTGATGTATTTCCCAGGTTTGTGAAAAGATATGTAGATGTGAGTGAGAACTTGGAGCTCCTTGAGCCACCTGCTTAGTCATGCTAGTGCAACTGTTGAAAATAAGGGCGCTATTAAAAATTCCCCAGTGAGCCATACCACGGAGTACTACCAGCTGGTAGTTTTCCTGGCATATAACTATGGTTCCGTGCCAGCTGCATTGAGGCAGGGCATGAAAAGCAGGATTAAATCCTAGAAACCAGTAATTATGTTCATGTGTTATGCTAGGTGACTGAGCTCTTTAAATGTAAAGGTTACAACTTGGAAGAAGATAGAAAAGAACCCGGAATAGAGTGTAAAAGCAAATATTTGGTAGATTCTTTTTTCTTCTCATGATTGGTTTTAATTGGACTTTTAACAAGTGTATATTAAAGGGAGCAAATTATTCCTATTTCAGGCTGCCAGTGTAAGCTAGTATAGATATGTTTTCTGTGAATTATGATAGTTATATTTCCATTTTCCTTTGTTTAAGCACTGTTTAGATGTATTTTGATGTTTTTAGAGTATGATGTGTTATTTTGAAAATATATATTTGAATGCAGCTTCTCCCTTGTGAATCAATAGTAATAAGTTAAATCAGAAAACACTGTTTCTCTTTATAGCTTGGCCATTCTGGGGCAAGTTACAGGCACTTATTTTGATGTTTTACTTTCAAGTTGTCTAAGCAAATTGGAAATAGTGCATTGAAGGCACTTTCACATGTGATATCTGTTAAATGTCATTTACAATTTATGTATTCTTACACAGAATTTTCCTTTCTATCTTTGAAGACTGATAAATAAAATCTCTCCCCTGCTACTCATTTTTTTCCTGTTTGGCAAAGGGAATATTGAAATATATCTTTTAATACTGTAGATAAACAAGGCTATTATTGTATTATTTTATTCATCAATTTCCATTGTATGTCTACATTTTCTAGCTGCCTCCTTCTTTACAATTACATTTAGTTTGGCAGTGAGATGTGTTTATTTTTAATCCAAGTAATTTCTCCTAAAAATAAAATGCCTCTTAACCCCCACCCCTGAAGATAAGTGGTAAATTGTACAATCATACTTTTTCATCTATGTATGAGGTATTTACATTAAATATGCATGCCATATATAATATATGCATAGCTGAAAGCAAAAACTGCCACAGTGTCAGAGAGGAATCATTTAAAGACTTTATTCCATAAAACATCTAAAACACTATAAAGAATTAACTAATCCTGATGCAAAGCAACACAAATATGCAGTTGGCACAGCTTATTTTTGGAAGACAGGGTTTATATATATATATGTATGTATTTAGATATGTGTGTGTATATATTATTTTTTCTCAGTAGATCCATATGTCTCATAATAAGCACACACTGCATGAGAGGAAAAGGAGACTAAATACATGCATACACGTAATTTTTGTGCTACTGCAGTTGAATGTATTGGCTTCGTCACTTTAATTTTCTTACACCCTTGCTAATTCGTTCAATACCTTTACTCAGTATGGGTCAGTCTAAATATGGTAAGATAGGGGATAAAAAGATTTTTTTTAAATGGAAGAATTGCTCTGATCTGAGGTTCAGCTAATAAACCAGGATAAATCAGAGGCAGGGAGAGGATTGAAGATGTGAGTACATTTAATAAGAATGACCTCTCATATTTGTAAAGCTCTTAACAGATTTCACCCTCATCAGTAACCACTGATATTGTAGATCTCAGAGAGAGTATTTTCAGTGGTGGAACCCTGGTTAATAGGAATTAAGAGATGAGTGAATGGGTAAAAAATCAAGGCAGGGAAAAGAGTCTTTTTCTGAGACATTTGCTATTAAAGGAACAATATAAAGAAAGATGACTGGAAGACCAAAAAAGGCACTTTGTTACATTATATTTTGATTCACTAGAATATATTTATGGGTAGAGGAGAAATGCATAAATGAGAAATCGAAGCATAAATATCGAGCTAGAGGAGAAAAGGATCGTGTTCTCTAATAGAGAGAGGGTAAAATGGGAAAAAGAATAAAGAATATGGAGAAACATTTTTAGTTTGGAATAAAAACACCGAGGATGTCAATTTTGTGAGATTCTGTAATTGTAGTGGCTGTGTTTCTCCAGAGAAAGAGAAGATTGAAAAAAATTTAGAACCTGCTAGAGCAGTTTGTAATTGATGTTTTAGGAAACAGCATAAAAATTAAATAAGGGTTGCTGAAAAGTGCAGTTAAGTACTCAACTGATACTGAAGTAAGTGGACACCGTTTAGTGAATTTCACAGCAATGCCTGGCAAAGAGGGAGCAGGAGCTTAGATGGTGTGTGGTATCACTTACTTTGGGTTGAAGAAAATGTGAAACCCAGAGAATGTAAAAAATTGTTATGTTAAAACAAACTATTAGAATTTATATTTCATTTTGATTTTTAATCTCTGACAGGCAAGAATAAAAGTTTACAAGACTTAACCTCTGCAACCTGGCCACCCAAAGAAGGCATTGGCGCCCTACAAAGTTCTGTGGAAACCAGCTATCATCCAATGCTTTAGGCAACCAATTCTGGTCAGTGACAAGGCTGGGACCCCAGCCCCACATTGTGCCAGGGAAGGAGTTGGTGCTTTATCAGCTGTGAAGGTTGATAGTGTGCTTTCTATATAATGAAGTTTCCGTTACAAAGCTTGAATTCCAACTTCAGCACCCCACCATTGAAGGTATTGCTGTATCCTTATCTGTGAGGGCTAATAAACTATGGTTACGATGTCACACAACTTCAAGTGCATGACTGTTCTTCCATCCGATGACTGTGTCAGGAAAGAGGCTGGTTCTGCAAGGATAAGGTTGGAGTCAATATCTGGCCTGACATATTATTATTGTAACCTGTCTCTTCATCATGCCAGTGGAGGGTGGTTCTTCCCTGATCTTGCAGTCTAAAGGTTCCACAAAAGCCCAGGGCTTCTGTGATCCTCCCCAGAAGCCTGAGGTCTGGTCCTGAAAGATTTCTGTATTTTACCACAGCCTATGAATGGGGCAAAGAGGCCTGAGCACCTGCTATGGATCCTACCTCCTTGAGTTTGCCCAATGAATGCTGTTCTATCATTCTGGTATATGCGTGTGTGTTGCTTGGCCATTTTCCAATAATCTAAAAAGTCTAAAGACATCATCTCTAGCATGATGAATGGATCTTGGTGATTGGCTAACCAGAGATAGGGAGATAAATCAGGGCTGTGGGGGAATTGATTAGTTTTTACAATAAACAGGTGTCAATGTACTAGGGAAAACAGGAAATCAGTAGGTATAAAGTGGTGGGAGAAGCATAAGGACAGGAGCCTGTAGTCAGAGAGAATAATTTCATGATTTGAACTCATACATGTAAACATTAGTGTATTATATCCAGGTTTAAACTGAAGAGCTGGGAGAAGTAATGAGAAGGCAGCGTATTGCAAATGTGTTTTAAAAATTGTGTAAAACTTACTATGTTAAAATTCTAAGAAGAATTTCTTGTCCACAAAGTTATTTATGGTATATATTTCTGGCAGATACTTCTTCTTGGTATTTTTTGTTTATTATTTCCAGATTCTATTTTTGATAGTATTCTAGTAAACGGGAAAATAGATGAGTTGATGAAGCAAACCTACCACATAGTCTTCTAGAATTGAGGAAATTACAGCTCATCCACTGGACATTCAAAAAATATTGGTTATTACATTGTTGAGTTTAATTTCTTTATTGAATTACCTAGAAAAGATGTTCAGGGAAGTTCATCAAGACTTCATAACTTATGTTTGGGGCATAGACATTAGATACAATGGCACTATTAGTAGGAAACTATCTTGAATTAAGTTCTTTAGTGGTATTGGTTTTAATCTTGCTGGCAAAGTTGAGGCAAAATAAATAATATCATAAATATATGAAACTTGTTATTAAATAAGATTAAATATTGATATAGTAGACAGAATATTAATAAAACTATTGTTGGCATAATCATTAGTGATATAAATTGTCATCAAAGGCTCAATGAAAATCATTTTAAAAAATAAAAACATGTTAAGTACCTGAAGAGAAGATAATTATGTTTAGGATTTCTATGGTTTGCTCATTGTAAATAAAAGTTAAATCTTATTGAGTATTTTCTCAGTTCAGGACATAATGTTTGAAATTAGGTGCATCTTGAAATTGATGGTACTTTCATTTTAATAACATCCTTATTTACTTACACTATTATTCTAAATTTTTAGGATGCCCAGTTGGTTGTAGTGAAAATACCCTGTAAAATGTAATATTTTATATTTTACTTGTCACTTCAGTCTTAGAGTGATGTTGAATTGTCTGTAGAAATTAGCAAATGGAGATGATAGGATTATGGTCATTACAAATTTAAAGTAATAACACACTTTAACATTTACTCTCACTCTAAGACTTCAAACAGCAAGTGGATATAGTCAAGTTGAAGATTTTTCTCTGAAATTGTTTAAGTAGCAAGAAAACTGGCCGTCTAAATCACAAAATCAGCAAAACAAAAAGGTAAATGTGAATCTTTACTTCTCTCCCTAGATATGAATATCCCATGTGGATTTTCTGGGTTGTCTGGATTGCAGGTTGTTGTGTTGACAGAATTTAAAAGTTTCCTTCTAGATTGACTTAAATCAGAACAAAATATCAGGTTCAGCCAGTGTGAGTTATAGTTTGTAACATTAGGCAAACATCAGAGAATTTAGCTATGCTTTGGATTTGTTCACTTCTTATAGGTGTCTAAATTGTGATAACTTATAGTTAATAATTGTCAAAAAGTTTGAAATTGCAATATTTTTACTCTTGGTGAGAAGGAGGGAAATATGAAGGATTTTTCATGTCTCTCAGATATATTGGCCTATTCTCCAAATGACAGGTTCCTGACTGATCAACTGTACCACCTGCTACTAAAGCTCAGTAATATTAGTCTCTGCAATGGTTTCATTCTCATCTCACACCTCAGAGATCTTGTGCTCAACCCCAGGCATCCCTTGTGTGTTTAAATCAGCTTAACGGCTCATACAGTGTGCTGATTTCCTTGTAGGCCTCTGTTTTCTCAAAAAGTGATCACCTTTTGCCAATGCCCTCAGGATTAAACAGGGCAGTCTGGTTTTCCTTTTCTGCATTGGCTATACCTTTGTAGTCAATAAAAGACTAACTAGAAAAGAATCAGCTGATGAGAGAATCAATCTTCTGGAAGCCTCCCCACAGTTTTCTCATCATTTTTGTGCCGTCTGTCATCTCAGATTGTAAAATGGAAACCAAAACTCAGTATGTGGGAAGACTTTTACTGCTCCTTGTTAACAAAAACAGTAAGACCAGGGGTTTTGATCTTACGAGTGTATAGGTAAACAGTAAGCTGTAAGTGCACACTCTTGAAGTGGCTTTTCTCTGTTTCTAATGGAGGTTTGCAAAGAATTATCAAAGTGGTATCAAAAAGGTCTCCTAACATACTGTAGTGTGGATATCCATTCTGAGGAGGTCAGGTTAAATCTGAAGGTCTTATAGATGATGATACTGGGGTACCTTGCGGTACAGCAAGCAATACAATATGCTTCTTAATAATAGTCATAAAAATAGACAAATGTAAAACAGGATTTTTTTTCCTGCATATTTATATCAGATTATATTGCATTAATTTATTTCTGTAGCAATATATTTTAAATCAAGTGACATTTTGTCTCATTTAACTTTTATTTAAACAACTTTATCTCACATAATTTGCTTTATTATAGACTATTCAAAAATATCTGTGAAATACATTCAGATTACTTTGGCAGATAAAGGTTATTTCTTCATACACCCCACTGTATATATTTCCTCTGGCATCAGAGAATCTGAAAATAATTTTTGTCCTCCCTTTGCTTTATGATTTTAGATCGTTTGTAACTTGAAAGCACAATGAGAAAAGTGAATTTGAACTTGCTAACTGATCCTATTAAAATACAAAATAGGGTTTGAAATTTGCTTTTTTTTTTCCTGTTCAGTTCAGGCTTTCAGTCAGTTATAATGCTATCAGAACTGTTTAGTTTCTCCCTCTGGTAATATATAACACACCTTTAATAAAAATAAAAGTACATTTTTAGTATCTTGAAAGGTGCAATATCTATTGTAAATTCTTCTGAGATGCATAATATTATTCAATAATAAAGAAGCACAATGATTTCATTACCTCTTTTCAGTGTCATTGAAATAGCCCAATGATTGAATTGTTACTGCTTACTGGAGCTGGGAGTACGGTTTGGTAAGAACAAGATTGGCATTTTTCTATTGCTTATTAGCTTACTTGTTACTAGAAATTTGACTATGTCAAAGATTGAAGATATTTAAAAATTTTTGGATCTGTATATGGATTTGTAGGGAAATAACAATATTCCTTGAAAGGGAAAATACATTTATTCAATTTTTCTAAGTATCTGGAATTTATTTCAATTTGATTCATGTATGAAGTTTGGTGCTAAAAGAAAAACTGGGTTATTAGTTCATCATTTTATTGCTTTTGTCATTAATATTGGTTGACTATTCATAACGTTCTTACCATTACTGTTGACTGGTTTCTCATAAAATGTATAATCTTTTACTGGAAAATATGTAATTTTGTAGTATTTTTGATAATGCAAAATATCTAAACTTAATCAAATAATCTGAAACAGATTAGTCACAATATACTTATACTTTCTATATTTTCAAGCTAGTTCTGTCAATATTTGATATTGCCTCTTTTTCTCATTGTAAATTGTCCTTGGTAGTTTGAGTTTAATCTTTATTTTATTTAGTTTTATTTTTCCCAGTCACTTACTACAGCTAAGATTTCCTGAGAAAATAAGGCAGACCCCTTTTTCTTTCTGATAGCCCATACCTTAACATTATTTTTAGTGTTGCTTTTTCACAAAGAATCTAAATGCTAAGATGGCAGGATCCTCACCTGTCATATCTTAATGGTATCCCCTATGTCTGACACATAGAAAGTGCTTAATTAATAGCTATTGATTCAATAAAAGATGGAACTGATAGAGGATGCTTATATCTGAGAACCCTAGAAATTCTTAGGTATCTTAATACCTAGGCTGTAAAAGTTGTTATGGCATGTGCTACTATTACGTGCAAAATAGTATTACTGTTTTCAAGGTGTTTACCAAAATTAGTTTTTGCATTAAGAGTAGTGAATTGGGATGGAGAAATATTACAAGGATTCTCTTCTTTATGTTATATATCTTGTCTCTACTCAAGGAAAGACACTTCTATAAAAGACGAAGTTGGTTGTACTTCCCATGAAACCATTACTTGAAGACACACGTTTGCATAATAGCAATGAGACAAAAAGTGAGTAATTCAGTCAATGATATTATATTCAAGTTTTTATGTCCAATATATTTTAGCTGATTTTTAATAAGTGTTTGTTTTAATGTTGTATACACAAACTGATGGTGATGCTATCCAAATAAATGTTATATCATGTGCCACATAATGACATTTCTGTCAGTCATGAGCTGCATGTACAACGGTGGTCCCATAAGATTTTAATATTATATTTTTATAGTACCTTATCTGCATTTAGATACACAAATACTTGCCATTGTGTCACAATTGACTGCAGTATTCAGTACAGTAACATGCTGTACAGGTTTGTAGCCTAGGAGCAACAGGCTATACCACATAATCGAGGTGTGTAGTGGGCTATACCATCTAGGTTTCTGTAGGTACACTCTATGATGTTTGCACAAGTAAATTGCCTAATGATGCCTTTCTCAGAACATATCCCAGTGACATATGACTGTACTTAACTGAACTCTAGTTAGGACATGAGTTGCTACTCTCATTGGCATCTCGCAAATGTTAGGTTGCTCACAGTACTGCTGTCAGTGTAGGTGGAATAGGGCATAGAAAGCATTCTAGACAAGGGGAAAATAGCAAGCCTACTGTAAAATTACATATATGTACAGGGACTATATACATGCCATGCAAAAGTGTCCTTTTTAATCTTATAACTAAGTAAGATATATCTTACTTAAGTAAATGAATAAATAACAACATCAGTGAAAAATTTGCAGGCTTAATAATTTTGGTGCCAATTTCAGAAAAATTACTATAATGTTCCACATCATTCGCCTGTTTGACAGTGACCTGTGCTTTTCTTTTCCAATTACATATAGTTTTCATATCTAATGCCCTTGTCTTCAAATTTTTCATCTTCTGGTAAGTGAAAATACATTGTACTATTTAAAGTACTGTGTCCATCTAATATAACCAAGCCTTCAAACCTACATAGAATCCTTGATAAGAATTTAGTATTCAAAATTCTATTACTTCCTTTTACTATTGCTATGGTCAACTCATGAGACATTAGCAGTTTGCCTGGAATAAGACAAAGTACAAGTTATAAATTAATAAAGAAAGCATATGTAGTAATAGAGGCATTGGTGATATCTGATCATGAGTAACTCCTAATTATGTTATTGATATAGTAATAGTTTATATAATTAATTACAATAATTTATTGCTGTATTAATGAGATAGTAAAATAAAATATGTATTCACCTTTCACCCTGTTTCAAAATAAGAATTTAAAGCAATATGTGAAGAGCCATACAACAAAATATAGAAGAACTTTTAAAAGTTGAATGAATTGAGGCAAAGAAAAAAATAAGATATAGAAAAAATCATTAAATCTGTAGGGAAATTTGGTACACAAAATGCAAGATAAATTTGCTACCCTAGTAGAGATGCGTCACACATTGGCTTTAAGCTTCCAAGTAGCATATATGTGCTATATATATGCTATATATGTATGCTATATATGTATATATAGCATATATAATATATATAGCATATATAATGTCTGTTTATATATATAAATGTTATTTATATATGCTATATATATATATAAATTACGAGTTACATAATTCATAATATCCATCAAATAAAAATAATCTAGTTGCCTTGGCAACACAGAAATACTGATAACAAAGGTAAAGTGGGTCTCCACTGAGCAGGCACTGTCTAACTTAGGGAATACTGTCTACAGGGAGTAGAGTAACCAGTTTCATATGGCTACTTCTTATGATATTCCTCAGTGGAGGTTGATGACATCTTAGAAAAGTATAGTTTATAGAAAGCTATTTTACAATTATGTAAATATGTTTATGTTAGCCAATACCCTTACAGAGAGTGGAATTATGGAATTATGCAGGATCCTTATCAATCACCCTCAAAATTAAGAAGAGAGGTAAAAGGAAAGAAATGCATTGTTCCCTGCCATAGATGCAAACACACTGGAGGTGGTTCTTAACCTGAGGTTCAGGAACCAAAAGGCCTATGCAGAGAATCCAAGGGGTCACAAACATGGTGGGAACAATTACATCTTAATTTTTACTAGCCCCTAATTGAAAATTAGCGTTTCTTTCAATTATGAATGTAGGTAAAATCCATTGTAATCTTAGCTGTACCTGGGCCTTTTTTATCTATAGAAATAACAGACATTTTCATATCACATTATACTTGAGGATGCATCAAAATATTGTTCATGCTTATCCTTATCGAGATATTTAGTAGTTATTAGACCTATCACTTAATCTTGATATTTAATGTATTAATAATTAAGTATATATAATTCTATAATATGAATTCATTCTTCTAATATTTTGGTTAACTATGTTTTAATATAAGTTGTTTCTCTTTATAATCATATTTTTAAAAATAAAATATTATCAAATAAGTTATCCATAAACCTTGGAGTGTAGCCACAAGGGCCTATGGTCCAACACGACTGAGAGGCAGAACACAAGAGACCTAGGTTCCTGACTGGTCTTCTGCCAGTCTCACCACTAAACTATTACTGGTGTATTTGTTTTCTAATTCCTCAGTAACAAAGTACCACACAAATTAGGTGGTTTTAAAAGACAGAAATGTATTGTCTCTCAGTTCTGTAGGTTAGAAGTCCAAAATCAAGGTGCTGAGAGGGCCACGCTTCCTCCATAATTTCTGAGGAAGTATACTTGTTTGCCTTTCACGGCTTCAGGGAACTCCTAGGCATTTCTTGTCTTGTAGATATATTACTCCAAAACATACCTTTCTCTCACATACTCACCTGGCATTTTCTGTGTGTGCCTGTGTCTTCACATGGTCTTTTCTCTCTTTTTAAGAACAACAGCCATAGGGGATTGAGGGCCCACCCTACTCCAGTATGACCACATCTTAACTAATTACATCTGCAATGATGTTATTTCCAAGTTAGATCACATTCACTGGTATGCAGGCTTAAACTTCCATATATATTTATTGGGGGGACACTATTCAACCCATGCACTTGGGAAAAATGTCTATTTCTATATCTGAAGTCATTCTATTTTGTGGCCTCTGTTTTATGAACTCAGTCTATACCCAGATATACTTTGCAACCAAAATTAAGATGAATTCGATGTTAGTTACAGAACTCTTGTGAGGTATTGATTGCTCAAGCAAATAACTACCCATAGATAGTTTTTTTCAGTCTATGATCACTGTGTTCCCTGGTCAATTGACAAAGTAATACCTCTAGGGCAATCCAGCCTACATTCTGTTTTTGGTAATAAAATTGTATTGGAGTATAATCCCATTCATTCATGTATGTATTGTCTATAGCTGCTTTAACATTACAATGGCAAAATTGTGTAGCTGCAATAGAGACTGTATAGCCCACAAAGCCTAACATATTAAGTATCTGACTCTTTGTAAAAAATGTTTGCTGACCCCCTCCCTAGGACATAAGAGAGATGACCGACCAAGAGGTTTGTCTTATTTTAGCGTGTGTTTTTTGTACTATGAGGGTGTAGGAATCTTATTAAATCAGAACTCAAAGAATAAACCAGATAAGAGAACATGAACTAGACCTTAAACTGAGCCTACAAATTGCTAAAACACATTTCTAGTTACAGGACACATTTACCTGTCATTGAAATCAATTATCTAAGGATAACGATAGGAAGAAAGCACATGGTTTCCAAGTTTCTTTAATAATAAGAAAGCAACAATAAATTAAAACTTGCTTGTAATAGGGAAAAATGGCTATTTCGAATCCAGAGAGTGAAATTCTAACAAGAGCAATCATTGTTATAATTGTATGATATTTCTTACTTCCACTAGCATTATTAATGGGACTACCGTTTGACCTGACAATGAGAATAGCTTCCCTTGTGGCATTTTGGCAGTTCTATTTCTGTTCTTTGAGAAATAAGGAACAGACAAAGGATAAAAGTCCTTGCTTGAGCTGCTGAAACAATAAGATAATGTGAAGAATCTCCAGTTACTCCAGAGCTCAAAGGACCCCATTTTTATGGCTTCTTGAGAACTGGAAGCATGATGGACACTCACAGAAAATACCTTAGTTCCCTATAAATCAGCAGTCATGTAGGGGAGTATCACTGCATGTGGGGTCCTATAGACAAATGAGTGTAGCAGGGAAATGTCCTTTGGAAAGAAAAATCATGTGAAACAATAACAAAAGACCACAGACTAGAGCTGAATATTAGATGTTTTGGGTGTTTTGCAGCAGGAATAGGAACTTTGCTAATCATAGGCTCAGCAAAGTTACTACAAGCACAAGGGGTGATTCTTTGATGAATAGTTTTTAACATGCTGGGGCAAAAAACAGAAATGACAATATAGTTGACACATGTTCAAGAATAGGATTAGGGCACCAAGGTTTGCCCTAATGCCAGAACTTAGCAAATCTTAAAAAAATACTAGCAAACTTAAGTCCAAAATCATGACAGACATTTCAAATGGGGAGACATTCTCCTACTACTACCCTGTTATTGCCTGAAATTATGGTATTCCTTGATCTAGCCTATAATGAACTATTACTTTTTAAGGAATGTTTTCTTTCATCATTGTCTTTTCAGTTCCTCCCATTTCCATCCTCTCCTTCCCCTCTTCTGACTTGTCATTCTGTTTGAGTGCTTTCATCTGCTGAGAGATGTGATAAAATATTACTACACACAAAATGTGTGAAGATGTGAAAAAGTATAACAAAGGGCTTATTAGATGTTTTTCTAAAGTCTATAGCAAAGAAAGTAAATTTTAAATGAGAGTAGAATAACATTTAGCACAGATACTTGAAGAATAACATATTTCACTCTGAATAACTTACTCAAGGAAGTCACACACCGAATTTGAAAGCCCATGGAGTCTCCTTACAAAGGCAGACCAAGCATGCAGTGTACACACCTGGATCTTGAAAATAGAATCAATAAGAGGAAGGAGAGTGAACTAAGCCAAAGGAATGAACAAACTTTGGAGGAAGGAAAGTATAAGAGTTTTGAAGAACTGATGAGTAGAAT